AAGTAACAAAATTGCATTAAGTAAGTATGTAAGAATTTCATAATTTTTTAAGAAACCTGTACAAGATGTGGAGTACAAAAACACGGTTTCAACTATTTTTCTGTGGATGCTTACTCCAAAATTATTACGTAAATGTCAGTTATAATTGAAAAATTAAAAGATTTCAACATAAAATACCTAAAATTAAAAATTAGAAATGGGTGTCATTGCCCTACAAATAATGTAATCTAAACAGGCGAAAATGTAGTTGGCGGGTATACACAAAACCTATGATTACCTTGAAAACAATTATATTTTTGCACTTCTACTCGGTATTAAATTTGGCTTTTTATCTTTCAAAGTGAGAAAGCTAGATGCAAAAAAAAACTTCTTGATTCCTACTTCCTAGATCACATGAATCTGTTGGTTCGTATTTTAGCTCCAAATGGAAACCGAAGGTCTACCTTGAAAAGCACTATACTTGAATTCAACTATTTATGGGTAATCAGCCCTATGGAACTTCCAGCAGGCATTCACGGAGTTAAATATTAAATTCTATTATGGGCGCCATTCATAACCACAAATTCATAGGAAGGGCTTCGGAACAGGAAGTAAATTATTACATTTTTTTTTTTTTTTTTAATGCATAGGTACTAAATTCCAGATACATAAAGCTTAGCTATTCAATTGAATGCTCATGCGATAAGTTTAGTGTTTTTTTCCTGTTGGGGGAATTGAAGTTTCACCCTTTTCATATCTTTGTAATTAATTATTTTAATATTAACACTGATTCCATCCATTTTCGATACCGTGATAAAACAGACATTTTCAAGCCATAAATGTTTTTCGCCTTAGCATTGGTATTTCCAATAGTTTAGCTACCGAAAAAACGTATGAGCTCAGACTTTACTAAAACCAGATTTCCTTTGCAGCAAGGTTAAATGCAGCATTTACCAAAAGTCTGGTTATGTCTAAAACTTTCCGATGAAAACTGGTAAGGATCACAAGAATATAGCAGCCTACTAGCCCTTCGAAAATAAATGAAATCAGTGCGGTGCATCAAAAGTTTTTATCGATAAAAAAGTGTGGAAGTTTAATTTGGCCTACAGCCACTAAATTTACTTGAAATATTTTGCACCGTTAGTTTTTTTGTGGACGTTTCTCTCAAATACTGCAAGTAGCAAAGATAACAGTCTGAAATTATTCACATCTATCACATTTGTCTCCCTTCTCATGATCAGGAGAAACCTTTGGCCTTTTTTGGATCGAGCAAGATTCGAGTACTATAGCAATGATTCATTAATGTGACATAAAGGTTCACTGATGGAGACCCGAGAAATACCTACATGGCAATCTCAAATATGGCGGGTTTGTTTTATTTGCAGTTGAGCCCGTATTTGTCATTGCAATGCCTGTCTGGTTTTCGCGTCCGTTTCTGTCCTTCTTTTTTATATTTTGTTGTTAAATGACTTATTTTCCACTCTTCCGGTGTTTCATAGCTATCTATGCATTTTTCGTATAGTTTTGTTATGTTTTTGTGATGTTTATTGCTTCCATACTCTATGTTAGTTCTCAATACATTTCTTCTGGATCTGGCGGTCTTCCATTTTTCGAGAAGCTACACTGTTTTTAAACTTCTATTGGTTATATCCTGCGATTTTTATATTTTGCGTCTGTTCTCTTTCTTCTTTGCCCGTTGTTCTGTCAACAATTTAAATTACTTTTCCCCTTGCTGGGGTCTTTTTGAGGTAATAATACCTTTGGCTTTTGTTGTCCTGATGTTTTTCAGTTCAATTAATAATAGTTATTTATGTCATTAGGCCAAGAAGTGGGTCTTTTTGTGCTGAACATGAAGTTTGAAGGCCGACGCGTAGCGAAGGCCTATACAATCGAGCCAAGCACAAAAAGACCTTCTGGGCCGTATGGCATGCAACATTTTCTCTTCATGCGCCTGCAATATTACCTTCTATTACTTAAAATGTCAACTCCTGACTGTTGATAGATGGTGCCACGGCCCTGGTGTCCGGAGCACTTCCTTTCTAAATAATAATAACAGAACTACTTAAAATACTGACATAAGCAAAATAAATATGGAAATTTGTGAAAAAATCTAACTACAACGTCAGAACAAAAATTAATAATTCGAAAATCGTCCCACTTTTAACTACTCCCGACCATAGAGTATGAACCGATTAGATCAACATTGGATAGTTCTTAAACACTCGAATTGTCAAACATCAGATTTGACCGGAACACCCATTTTTAGTTCAAAAACGTAGTCCTATAAATTTAGTCCCACTTTTATTTTTGCAATAATTTAATTTATCTTCAAGCGGTATATAATTTGAAATTCATTTTTGTCAACCCTTGACAAATAAGTGATCAATTATGTTTCCAGGAACATAAGCATCTTTATCTATGGGGTAATAGGTTCAATTTTTCTTCGCTAGAGGCATCAGCGTCAATCAGCACTATTATGTTCTTGTAATTAGTTTTGCGTTGTCTTCTCGCTAGATGGCAGCATCAACGACCTAGTTCGGGAAATACTTCGTTTCTGTGTGTCTTCCATGGTCGGCGCACTAAAATATGTTCTGAGTGACCTAATATTAATTTGACTTTTGACGTAAACAAATCTGACATACATCGTGAATCAGCTGTTTAGTGTTTATTTTTCCGAAAATGGAGGGAAAAAGCATTAATTAAGTTGTCCATAGTTCCATAGTTAGTTAATTTTCGACAGTTTCAGTATGTCTTTTGAAAATCTAACTTTTCCTTTCTTCGGGATTTTTTCGGAAGGCAGGTCTATTCAAATACTTGAGCTGATTTTCGAAAATAAGAGGTACTTTTAAGAGTTGGACGTTTTAGTTTGAACTCTCCAATTACTCCTTCATCCTCGTTTGTTTCAAATCTAATTTTTTTGGTTTCTTCAAAATGTTTACAAAACACCACAGAATTTTTCGTTATGGTATAATCTCGGGTATAATTATCTTGGTGTTTTGCTTTCATCCACAACTTCTGCAATTCAGAATTTTTTTGGAAATGAAAATGTTTGCATTTCTTCAGTTTTTAAGGAACTCCTATAGTTCGATTTGCACCCAGGAGCACAGCAGTTTCATGGCATCTGGAACAAGTTTAAATATCTTAGGCAATATATCGAGACCTATGCTCTTGCACAAAAATATTAATATTGTTTTTATTGTTTTACCTTACCTGACCTTAATTTTTGCTCCTGTACCCATTTGCTAAAAATTTGCAATCAAAGCACAAAGGAACAGGTATCAACTAAATATGGGCAATATATGGGCGTGTTTCTATCCACTTTTTCGTCGATAATGCCCACAAAAATACTAAACAGCAACAATACACCATGAATGCAATACACAGAAACACATAACCGCAGTAACAAAACAGCACCATACGCGACGTTGCCGTCATTTCCCACTTCATGGCTTGTAGTGTAGGAGGCTGTGGGTATGCCATTCGGCCCCAAGGTCTTTTTGTGCGGAACTTGGTCGTCGACGCTGCCATCTAGCGAGAAAAATACGCAAAGGTAATAACAAGAATATGATAGCGCTAATTGACGGTGCTGCCTTTCGCGAGAAGCAATCAAACCGCTTCAAAATTAATTTACTATATACCTACAGTTGTTTCTCTTCCATGACTCGTTTTTTTTTTCTGTACTATTTTATTCCGTACTTTTGCTTGTGCTTCTCTATATATTTCTTTATCTCATTTTTATTTAAACCTGGTAGGTACTATAGCTATTTCTTCCTCTTGTCTAATATGTCTTTCTCGATTTCTTCATCCGTAATTGTTTTGTGTTCTTTCAATTTTTCCGGTATTGCCTGAGGCTTCAAAGGCTCTACACTGTGAATAATTTCTTTATGCTAGTAATGTATTTCGAGGAATTGGAAGCTTAAACTACTCTGTAATTTTGGGTCCAATCTTTTCATGTACGATATGGGAAATTATAAAACCCCTAAACAAATACTAATTTCAAAATTCATCAGCAAAATGAAGACAGAGATACTTGCAATTGCCTAGAACAAGAAAAATATAATCCAAATATAAAAGAAACAATAGGTACACAAAATTTCATAGGTCAACTAACTGCCTTAATGAAGATAGGTATTTGTTGAAAATGAGAGTGCGTGTTTTCAAGTGGCGCGGCAGCCTTACATCAGAAAGCCGTCTTCCATGCGGTATTTAACGATACCAGCATTTTCATTGAGTTTACAAAAATTATCTACGTTTTAAATCTAGGTATTTCCGAATATAACAATTTAGTTTCTATGTTTTGAATTCTTTCTGTAACCAGATTACACCCGACCTGATGAAGCCGATTAGCAGAAACGCGTGCTACTTTAATTTTGTTTTGTCCAATTTTTCTGCACTCTGGCTGCGGTTTTACCCAATACGTGTACTTTTTGGTTGTAAATCAAATTTCCAATCAGGAACTTTAGTTTGCTGCATTTATTTAATCTTTTCCTTGAAAAGCGATCGCCCCTCTAAACGGTCAGATGACTTTCTTACTTACAATTTTTCACATTAATTTCTCCAACAAAAAAAAAAAAAAACAAAAAAAATGTGGAGCATTCACATTACTTACCTACTTCTTCGTAAGTTTTCAAAGTCGTTTTGTAATAGTCAAGTGAAACAGAATATGTTGTTGAAATTTGATAAAAGCTATATGCGAATAATGAAAAAGTTCGCGTTGTTGCAAAGAACAAAGTTCACAATTGGGAAATTTGAAACATGCATGTTTCAGCGACGACGGGTTGAGCGAGAGCGATGTAATCCTGTCTGCAAAGCAAATTGAGCATGTGAAAATATAAATAATAACGACAAGTCATACTTCCCCGAGCTGTGAGACGAAATTCCGAAAGTCCGTATGTGCGTTACAGCATTAGAGGTGACATGACAACATTGGAATTCAAATTGGTGCGCAGCCGCTAACCAAGCATTTCGGGAGCGCGGTGTGTCTGACGTGCACATGTGCTTTTAACGCAGTGTAGAGTGCACGTTGTTCACTTCCTTCTACGCTAAACAACGTACGAGCACAGGTGAGCGTAGCGTATAACTCGAATTTATTAATTCTAAACTTTTGTGTTTTTTAATTTTTTTGAAAAATTGTGCAATTTGTTCCGGCAATTCTTCTCAGGTTTACTTTATTACTTTTTTTGTGGTGTTATATATTTTGTTAAATTCAAATGTGTGTAAGGACCACCAACAGTGAAAGAAGGTATAAGTAGAAAACTTTGAAAAATTCATTCGAAATACATTTCAATCAATAAACAATTAACACTTTGGACTGGGTATTTTTTATTTGAATCGTGTAATCAGGTAAAATATATATATTTAAAAAAAAAACGGAAATGACGCTTTACGCTTAATCAAATGGCTTGTTTTATTTTGTATTTTCAAAAACGTATTTGCGAGCACATATTTTTCATATTCTGTGGCAAATATATATTTTAAAATTTAAATATCAAAAACATTGTTTATTACAAAATTAAAAGATTTTATACCAAAACTGAGTTTCCTTTATTGAAGTATCTAATCAATTTGCAAAGTATTTGTTTAGGCTTCCTATTTAAAGAACCAACAAATTTATTTAAATATTTTTACATTAAATTAATCTTTTTAACATTATTTCGGTGATCTTTAGTCTATACAAGTTATTTATTTGAAAAGTACAAAAAAATATACCTATTTTTTCACTTGTGACGGTCGTTCGGCCAAGCCGTTAAGTGTCAAAAAGACACGATTCGCCCGTGTTTTTAGTTCAAGATACAACTATCTAGTATCTATATCCAATTTATTGAAATATTGAATAAACTCGGAAAGTCATTGTCGAGCGAATTTTGAGATCGAACATTTTGTTATTTTTACGAGCTTTTAAAATAATATTTACAAGACATTAAGTAATTTATCTGTACAACTGTATAAAGTGATATTTTTGTACATGTGACAGCAAGCAGATAAGTGCGGAACGGACGCTAAACGTACCTATTACGTAATATAACTTTATATTTACACTAAATACAAACTCACTAAAATTTTGCTCTAGATGTAGCTATTTACAAGTACATAAAGTAAGGCAATAAAGCCTGTTTATGTAAGCTTTACATACATGATTTTATGTACGATTGCGACTGGTTTTTATTGAAAATTAAAAAAATTGAATGAAAAAATTGAAATTTGTATACCTGTTTCACTTTGGCAGGTTGTCAGGTAGTCCAGGTAGGCAATAAAGTAGCACTTTATTTTACAGTAAATTTTATTTTTATATATTATATTACATTTATATATTATATATTATATATTATATATAAATAAATAGCACTTTATTGGTCAATCGGACATAAAATAGTTTATACCGTATTTATATATCAATTTATAGTAGGTAGTTACTATTCCGGAAAGTTTTTTTTTACAGACCGATGCTGTCTGCGAGTTTTAGAAACCAAACAAAAAAACGGATCTGAAATTTACCTACACTTTCTTTCTTCAATCGTCATACATAACAAAAATATGCAATTTGGTTTTAAATTTTTCACCAATGCTAGTCCTAATTAAACAATCAAATTTCTTTATTATGGAAAAGGATTTGTTGGATACATTTCTTGACATAGCGGTAATTGATGCATTATTGACTGATCCCTTGTGTTCTCTAATCCCTGGAGGTAGTGATAGTCTCATTAATGGCCAGGGCCATGATGCTAATGGGCGTTATTTGGTTGTTGCAATTATCAATTTCTGCCTGAGCGTAGACTGGAATTTTCAATATTCCTGGCAATGTTGATTCTGTAGTTTAATGGATTTTCTATGCTTCCTTCTGCAATTTCAGTTAGATTCATTACTTTGCATTTTTAGTAGGTGGTATACCACTCAACAAAAAATTTAGCAAGTTCTAAGACACGCTAATTTTGAATGTTCTACAATTTCCAATGGTTAGATTCCACACCTGACATTATTCACTTCAATACATTCTAAAGGGTCTGGATTTCGGTGGAGCCGTAAGGAAACGGTACCAAGAATTTTTTTCGTTCTTGATTACTACACAACTTTTCATCGATATGAGTTGTCAATCACAAATTTTGCAAATTGTGCTTATGACTCTAAAACCGTGCGTCTTTGTGCAAAACTCCCCGGAGAAAAATAAAAGCTAATGAAACTTTCTACGAGAACCCCTAGAATCGCTACGACACGCTTCGTTTTCGAGCTATTTCCTCCCAGAAGTCGGTAATTTTTATAAAAATATTTATTTGTCACGTTTTCTGTGATTAACCTGGTTACGCCTGAGCAGTTTATTTTACACAGAAGCGCTATGGAAGAATTTTAGAGAGGGTTAAATTTCTTGAACAACTCATAGCAATTTATCTCTAATGGGTCAGAAATTACAGCAATTTGAATAAAAATCACGTTTTTTTTTTCTTCAAAAAACTAAATGAGCCGTGCCATTCAAATTTAAATAGCATGTACAAACAACAATTTTTCAAGTTCATTTTGAAAAATTGGAAAAAGGGCGATTGTGTGAAGACCATTTGAACAAATTTTGGTTTTATTTTATAAAAAATAATATCTAGACAATAAATTCAAGAACAGATGAAAATCTTAATACCTGAATATTTTTTTCCAAAGCGTAGATTACTGGTCCTCTTCTTCTTATGCCGAAAGAGTCAAACCTCTGGCTAGACCATTATTGACGCTGATCTCCAATTTTCGCTTCACCTCAGTCTTCGTAATCAGTTCCCTGATATTGAATCTTTACCTGCATCTTCCACTGCTATGTTTATGTGTTTATGTTTCGAGTTATCGCAATAAATGAGGTCCAATATTTCTTTGGGAGCTGATTGAGGGAGCTCCTTTCCAGGGTCACCGTACTTTTTAAACATGCATACTCGCCTAGCTTCCTCAATATGGACTTGCCAGGAGAAGGGGTTTTTGGAACACTCCGGTGGCTCTTTGTGTATCATGATGTTTTTAGTTAATTTACATAAATCCAAGTTACTCGCCCAAAATGCCGCAATAGTAGCATCGCAGTCAGTGAATGCACGTGGGAACAAAATTTCCTTGAGTCACAGAAGTTGTATTTGGTGAGTGGAAGAACTTGGTTTGCACTTATCCTTTGCTTGATTTTTTGAACAGAAAGTTGTGGTCAGGTGGCGCTTTTGCTGAAAGTAGCACAACAAGATCGAAGTCTTTTCCTATAGCAGCAACAGTAAATGTTTCACTCACTGATTCGTACAATCAACAAGTCAGCATCATTGGATGTTTGATCTATTGTGAAGACTTTTTCCTTTTCATTCATTTGTGCCTATCCTGTTCTGCCGACCTAGTTCTGTGAGATGAGATATTGTATATATAAGAAACCGTCTTGAGAAGTGATGTTTTATTATTCTATTATGCGTTATGAATATATCATTTTTACTTTGGATTGAATATTGTAAATGCAAAGCAAATAATATTGTATACACCAATAACTAGTGTATTGAATCTGGCAAGTTACGCTGGTTTTATTGCATCTAATGATGATGATCTGAAAATATTAGTTTTATGAGTACAAACACTATAGGAAATCGGAGTTTTAGTCGAGTGCTGTCTACAAAATACTGTGCCATGATTGTATCAAAATTAACATTGGACAAAAAGGAAAGTATTTGATACAGCCACCAGCGACTAACAGAACCCCGGTAATCCCAAAAGAGATACGGATAACTTAAGCTCACCTTAGAATAATTTTATTGAAAAATTTCCTATTTGAGTATTAGAACGTTTGAATCACCAGATCATCCGTTTCTATGAGCCTTTTGCTGTATGTTTTCATTCATTCCATAATGACTCTACCTGCTGTTGATTGAAATATAAAAAAATCATGTGCAGCGCCATACCTTCCGCCCTCATACAACTTAGACTTAGCGTATGAGGGTAGAGACGTAGGGAAAACGCTCATCTATAGTAACGTCAGGGTATCGGCACTTGACAATAATATTTTATAATCCTTGGTTTGTGTCAATCGTTCGTCGGCTGTCATCCCTCTAAGTTATATTTTTCTTCTCTCTCGTGTAACGAAATTACGTGACGCGTCTTTCAAATCACTCTCCATTCTCGTCCAAATATCAGACCGCCGCCTTAGAAGTTTCACTTCAAAAAGCACAGGACACAAGTATAAATAACGAAAATAATCACAAAACACAATGATAATAGTATAAAAAAAGAGAGACGCGCATCTGTAGTGACGTCACAATGTTATCGGCGCTTATCAATAATAGGCAATCCTCTTTTCGCTTATAATCCTTGGTTTGTGTCAATAATAGGCAATCATCTTTGCGCTTATAGTCCTTGGTTTGTGTCAATCAATAGCTGTCTTTCTCCATCTCTCTACTTTATATCTTTCTTCTCTCACGAGCAACGAAATTTGCTAGTGACGTGTTTTTCAAATCACTCTCCATTGTCGTTCAGTCGTATCAGAACGCCGCGCCGGCTGCCTAAGAAGTTTCACTTCAAAAAATATCACGCTGTCAGTGTAGGTATTAACTTAAATCCTGTTATACCTTTATTAGTAATTTTTAGAGCGGAAAACTCAGTCTTACAAGCATTTTTTCTCCTAATAAATGTAAAAGAGTGATGCCGTGAGACGAAATGAAAGTCCAAATGTCGTCTCCAAGATGAAAGAGAAAATGAAATGATTATTACTTCCCGGCCAGAAACTATCGAGACGAGAGAGCTCTTCTCTTGTCTCTTCTCGGTTTCGCTCGTCTCTCGTGAGTTTTTACGTATAATATCGGTAATTTCGTCTCCCTGATCAAGAATGCTCGAAAATGTACTTTCGCCCCTATCCTTAAATTAAATAAAAATAAATAGGAAATTTTAAACAATTGATACAAGAAAATCTGAAAAAAATATAAATTGTGCGCGCAGGGGTGTAGACACCTACGTACTTTTTATTATTAACCACTCCATGTAATAAGTTCACTTTTTGTCGATATGTCAACCGCATCCCAGTAATATTTCACCACCGAAGTAACTTTGTCCATTCTAATGCACCTATCTTTTTTAT